ATAACCAAATCGCTAATCTGCCAATCGCTTTCTTACTTGAGAGATCTCTCAGAAAACACATGGTGAGGTGTATCTTCACTGGGTTGGGTGGAAACATGCCCAGCAAATGGCCAGTGATGACAAACCTTTTCGTCTGCCAAGAGAAAACACCCACCGAGCGCCAGATGCAGTCCTTGGGGACGGGGTTTGCATCTCCAGAAGCAGAATGTCCCAATGCTGGTCGTACCTGACAAGTTTGAAGTCGGGCTTTGAAAGCCCATAAAATCTCTGAAACATCCAAGGTGTGAGATGAATTTTAAAATCATGCAGATAGAACTATATAGTGCATATGGAGCCCTTAAGGATCCTTAAGGAATCTTTGATCCCATCAGCAACAACGGGGGCCTACTATCTGACTTTCCCAGGGTAAACCAAATTACAAACACATACTCTTATTAGATGTTGGGATGTGCTACCTACACAAAATGTCTTGGTGGCAGATCCAGAAACACAAACTGATTGCAGGGTCTCTGATGTCCAGATCGCATGTATCGGATCATGCACTTGTTTGTATTTGGCACAGCAGTCAATTGCCAAGCCAGCCACAATGGTCATTGCAAGCAATGGAGTTCCATTTGCATTAACAGCAACACACATATTTGATATTTATTCCATTTTCTGGGCTCCAACTTTTGAGGACACGCTAAAACAACTTTTATCAAATGCCAAATTGATCATGCCCCTAGAGTCCTTTGGTGAACTCACCCGCTGATATAACCAAATCGCTAATCTGCCAATCGCTTTCTTACTTGAGAGATCTCTCAGAAAACACATGGAGAGGTGTATCTTCACTGGGTTGGGTGGGAACATGCCCAGCAAATGGCCAGTGATGACAAACCTTTTCGTCTGCCAAGAGAAAACACCCACCGAGCGCCAGATGCAGTCCTTGGGGACGGGGTTTGCATCTCCAGAAGCAGAATGCCCCGATGCTGGTCGTACCTGACAAGTTTGAAGTCGGGCTTTGAAAGCCCATAAAATCTCTGAAACATCCAAGGTGTGAGATGAATTTTAAAATCATGCAGATAGAACTATATAGTGCATATGGAGCCCTTAAGGATCCTTAAGGAATCTTTGATCCCATCAGCAACAACGGGGGCCTACTATCTGACTTTCCCAGGGTAAACCAAATTACAAACACATACTCTTATTAGATGTTGGGATGTGCTACCTACACAAAATGTCTTGGTGGCAGATCCAGAAAAACAAACTGATTGCAGGGTCTCTGATGTCCAGATCGCATGTATCGGATCATGCACCTGTTTGTATTTGGCACAGCAGTCAATTGCCAAGCCAGCCACAATGGTCATTGCAAGCAATGGAGCTCCACTTGCATTAACAGCAACACACATATTTGATATTTATTCCATTTTCTGGGCTCCAACTTTTTAGGACACGCTAAAACAACTTTTATCAAAACGGGCCAATTGATCATGCCCCTAGAGTCCTTTGGTGAACTCACCCGCTGATATAACCAAATCGCTAATCTGCCAATCGCTTTCTTACTTGAGAGATCTCTCAGAAAACACATGGTGAGGTGTATCTTCACTGGGTTGGGTGGGAACATGCCCAACAAATGGCCAGTGATGACAAACCTTTTCGTCAGCCAAGAGAAAGCACCCACCCAGCGCCACATGCAGTCCTTGGGGACGGGGTTTGCATCTCCAGAAGCAGAATGTCCCAATGCTGGTCGTACCTGACAAGTTCGAAGTCCGGCTTTTAAAGCTCATGAAACCTCTGAAACATCCAAGGTGTGACTTGAACTTTCAATTCATCAAGATAGAACTAACGCATATCATATCAAACTCTGAGCAATTTTGGAGTGATCGTTAACCGCAAAGGTGCCCAGTGAGTACTTGGAGGTAGTGTGACCTACGTAACGCATATTTATATATATATATATACGTCAGTTTTGGAATAGTTTGGCGTGTTATTGTAATCTGTTGAAATAATATGTAGTATATAACTGTTGTTGATGACCCTTCTTGAATTCCGCCAGGGTGTCTGGATATCACTTCCAATCCCACCACTGACTAGAGAAAATCAGGGAATATATATATATATATATGTATATATATATGTATATATATATATATATGAACATATACTATCACAATCGCATAAGATCTGGTGCCGTCTTACAAGACCTCATTCGCGTCTTTACATACATATATTATATAATTTTGGTTACGGTGAATGTTGGTATATATATATATATATGGACTGGGAAGGTTGGCATCAAT